GATATGTTATTTAAACCTTATCTGTGAAATTTGGTGGAAAACGGAATTGATTTGACGTGATTTGGACCTTTGGTTGAGAAAATAGAAGTTTTGAAACTATCTTGAAAATTTCATGTATTTTGGTATTGAATTCGTAGTTCTAGGTGTTATTTTGGCGATTTTATCGCACAAGAAAGTTCATATGATATTTTAATACTTGTGTGCATGTTTGGTTTGGAGCCTCGAAGGCTCGGGTGAGTTTCAGATAGGCTACAGAGTGATTTTGGAACTTAAAAATTTGCTGGTGTAATTGGTGTCTGTAGTAGGCCTCTGATCTCGCAAATGCAAACTAAGCAGGCATGGAAATTGCAAGATATTGATCGCAATTGTGAAGAAAGTCTGGGCCAGCAGAGTTCGCAAATGCGAACAATTCTTCGCAATTGCGAAAGGGGTCTGGGGAAGGGCATGTTTGCAAATGCGAACATATACTCGCATTTGCGAGGAATAGTGTTCGCAAATGCAACACTTTCTTCGCATTTGAGAAGGCAGCAGGATTGTGAAGGGCTTCACATTTGCGATGGCTCCTTCACATTTGCGACTGAAGCTCAGGTTGCAAATGCGACATCTACAGATGTTCAAAACATAAGTTAACGGGATATTCACCCATTCTCCACATTTTTCAAATCCTAAAACTCTAGAGGCGATTCTTCCAAGACCAATTCTTCCCCAAAACTTTGGTAAGTGATCCTAACCTATTATTTTTCAATTTTCCATCATATTTCATGAATTTTCAACCAATAATCTATGATTTCTATGGTAGAAATTGGGGGTTTGGGTAGAATTAGGGATTTTTATAAATTGGGGATTTAGATCTCGATTTGGGGTCGGATTCCAAAACCAATTATATATCTGAGCTCGGGGTGAATGGTAATCAGATTTTGGTCCGAATTTTGAGTTTTGACCAAGCTGACCGGGGGTCGGTTTTTGACTTTTTGGGCAAAAATATTGGGAAACCTATTACTATGCATTGGAATTGATTCTTTAACCTTTATTGATGTTATTAAGTTAATTATGACTAGATACGAGTGGATTGGTGGTGGAATGAAGAGGTAAAGCGGTAATTGAGCTTTGAAATACTCGTTGGCTTGAGGTAAGTATTTGGTCTAACTTTGACTTGAGGGATTAGGGATCCCCGACTTATTTGCTATGTGAAATTCCATTGTGTGTGGCATATAGGTGTGGTAACGAGTACCTATGCGCCACCAAATTATTTATTTATCATGTTCCCTTCCCCGTTTCCTAATATAATATTTTTCTGTCTTAACTGCTACTTGCTTATTGATGCTTCCATGTCTAATTGCTTTTTATCAAATGTGGTTTTCTCTGTTGAAGGTATTAATTGTTCCGTAGTGTCATTATATTACATTGTTGGTTTAAGTTGGTTTATTGGTGCTTCATGGTACACTTTGGTTGGTCTCGCTGCATAGTATTAACTGTTGAAGTTTCATAACTGTATAGACCTCCCGTTGTTATGATTGAGGTATAAATGTTGTGGAGGGTTTGAGCTAAATTGTCAAATACTTGCTCTTATTTTATGATTGGTACTGATATGATAGGATCGGGTTGCACGCCACAACAGGAGGAATAAGGGTGAAATGTGATTGTCTGGTGGGATCGGGTTGCGCGCCGCAACAAGGAGTAATAAGGGTAGACAGGTGGGATTGGGTTGCACGCCACAACAGGAGGAATAAGGGTAATATATTGAGGAGTAATAAGGGTGGACTGGTGGGAACGAGTTGCACGCCATAGCAAGGAGTAATAAGGGTGAATGTTCATATTGTTATTGATTATATGGTGGGATCGGGATGGCTGTCGCATCATTTATCGTTTATGTATTCTTCTTATGCTGAGATTCATTATTGTGGCGTTAAAACTCTCTTAAGGATTGGTTATAGCTGAGTATTGGTAGAACGACTGGGTTCCGTATTTATTAAATGCAAGTTGCTGTCCTATTTCATTCTGTATCTTCTTTTTGCGTTATTATAAACTGTTGCAGTATATATATTGTTTATGCCCTGCCGTAGCCTCATCACTACTTTGTGGAGGTTAGGCTTGACACTTACCAGTACATGGGATCGGTTGTACTGATACTGCACTTTGCACTTTCTGTACAGATTTCGGAGCTAGTAGTGGCTGATCGAGAGGTCGGTTGCTGATACTTCACTCAGGAGACACGAGATAGTTCTGCAGGGAGGCATCCGCAGGCCCTGGAGTCCCCTCATATACTCTATATCTATATTTTATTTACTTTCGAGACAGATGTATCTTTCTTTTAAACCAGTATTTGTAGTGAACTGTAGAAAGTTCGTGAGTTATGACACCAGTTTCTGGGTGGTAACTATTTCGATTTTCTGTCAATAGTATAAAGTTAATCAGTTAATAATGTACTTCCACTTTTAATTCCATTGATTTAGTTTTGTTAAGTTTTAATTATAAAAGGCAAAGGAAAAATGTGAACAAATCTCTAATGTTGGCTTTCCTAGCGAGTGCGATGTTAGGTGCCATCACGATCTCGACGGTGGGAAATTCAGGGCGTAAGAGTTGCAAGCCAATTCTTATGGGGACACATATGGAAAGTAGCACCAGAATCAAGAACCCAAGAATTCTGCCCATGACTAGAACTCACAGTAAAAACTTCTCATACATAGTCAATATCATTAGAATTATTACCAGTGTTGACAATATTTGGCGAATTATCTATTTTCTGCTTTCCTCTTTTCTCCTTCAGCGTATGACAATCTCTCTTGTAGTGACCTTGCTCCCCGCACTCATAATAGTTCTGCTTCCTTGCTCTAGAATTCGATCTGGCGGTTGACTTTTTCCTGTTAAAGTTCGTTTGTTGTGTTCTTCCTCTGCTCACAAGACCCTTACCCTCAATTCTGTTGTCCGAAAAGCTCTTTTTCAACTCTTTAGATTTTAGTGCATTACTAATGTCTTCCAGTGAAATACTGTCTTTCCCATATAGCAACATATCGGCAAAAGTATCATAAGATGGTGGTAAAGTACATAGCACAATTAAGGCCTGATCCTCACTCTCAATTTTGATATTCACATTCTTTAGGTCCATTGTAATTGAATTAAACTCATCAATGTGAGCTTTAACAAGTGTACCTTCATTCATATGGAGATTGTATAACCTTTTTTTCAGGTCGAGGTGATTTGTCAGTGATTTCTTAGAATACAAATCTTCCAGCTTCTTCCATGTCATTGCTGCAAAAGTTTCTTCACCAATTTCCCGAAGAACGCTATCTGAAACGCTCATAAAGATCGTACTCAAAGACCTCTCCTTCAGGTTTGCCTTCTCTGTCTCTTTCATCTCTTCAGGAAAATCCTCATCAATTACTTTTCATAACCATTGTAACACCAGAGGCGATTTCATCCTAATCTTCCATAGACTGAAACTAGAACCCCCGTCAAATTTCTCTACTTCGTACTTTATTGAAGATGATAAAGACATCTTAACCCTAGATTACATGTAGAAACCCAAACCTTGCTATTATACGAATTATTATGAAAGATCGTGGGTTAGCACACAATCACACACAAAGCAAATAGAGAAGAAAAATCAACACAATGATTTAACGAGGTTAGGCTAATCCTAATTCTCGGGGCAAAAGCAGAGAGAATTTTTCACTATGAATGAGAAGAAAAGCACGGTACAATCTATAGAATCCCCAACTACAACCCCTATATATAGATCCTAAAAGGTCTCAAACCTATAAGAGAAAGATTTCCCAATTTGATAAGGACTATAGGTTTTCCTTTCCCAAATTTGTTACGACAATGGATTTTCCTAAACCTATATGGATTATGGGTTTCTTAAAAATACAAAGAAATAATTCAAGTCACAAAATAACATTCACGATATTTATTTTAAAAGTATAATGTGCATACATAGCTAGCAAGGTGAATCAAGGAATTGAAGGTGGCGGATTCCATGTTTACTTTAATATACACCTTGACTATGATTTTTGTTAGAAATGTATATTGGTTCAGTTTGATCTCTTCCAAGTTTATTCATGTCAATTTAATAATTTTCTGATTTACAAATATGAAAATTACAGTCTTTTATATATCAAGAAACAAATAGAATTTGAACAATATATCACATCTCTATTATTAACAAGACAAGTAAAACAACATTTGTACTAGTGGAATTATATCCTTTCTTATATATTAAAATTAATCACATGTAAAATTAATAGTAATATTTTTTATTTAGAGAATCACATACACTCTATTAGAGAAAAATTTGCACGAGTGAAATAACGTCTTCGATAAAAGAACTACACCAATGAATAAATATCTTCAATAGTTAAATTACATCTCATAAGTAAATGTAAAATTCGATAATTTACAAATCTTCAAAACTCAAAACCATAAATTCATGAATTTTTGTACAATACGTATGAGATTTTCATTAAAAAGTAAAAAGATTTAAACTTAACATAACCATAGAAAAGCACAAAAAATTATGATATGATAAACAAAAGAAATTATGAAAATTGAATTTGATCTCAATCTAAAACTCTCATCAAAACCCAAGTTTTTAAGTTTTAAAAGAAGGAAACTATATTTGAGATTAAGAACAATAATTTATTTACCTACACCGGATATTTATACCAAATTATATTAATTTATCATGTCTGCATCACACCTCTTAGGTGCGGCACTTCCCCGAAACCTGCGTGAGCAATAATGCTTTGCATACCATGCTGCCCTTTTTTACCATGATTAAATGATTAATTAATGTGAGAATATTACAGAAGCCGCACTTATGGTGTACGAACATTGGGACGGACACTGGGATTTCAAAAACATTTAAGAGTAAATAGGTAATTCTTTATACCTTCTCAAGGGACACGTGTGCTACTATTAATTTGACCAAACCACGTGTACTGAAGTTACATTCAACTATAGTATTTATCTCTCACTCAGAAGACCATCTCTGTTTGTGAGTATCTCAGCTTTCTTCTGCTCTTTTTCTGTTCTTCAATCTTTTTAATTGTGAAATTTTTGTGGTTGCTTATGGCGTTAACTCTGCTGTCCTTGTGAGTTTTAGTAGATTCTACTTCATTCTCCTTCTTTCTTTGTTGCACCCATTTCTTGGTGATGTGATTTTGATATATCCGATTTGATTTTCTTCATATCTTAGATTTTTCGATCTCTGCAATTTTCCTCTTGCTTAGCTACTTCAAGAGATTTGAGTTTTCACCTTTTTTTTTTAATTTCATGGATTCTGTCTCTTTCTAATTTTATCACTTGCTTGATACTAATCTTCTAACCTCTGTTGTGTTTGTTTTTACATTCTTTTGAATAATTTCTTGCTAGATCTACATACATGTCAGAAGTTCTATCTAATTTTTATATGCATGCTTGGAAATAAATACTTAGGTGCGTGTTTTTTGTTTCTAATTTTGGTTGTGTAACGGTGTTTTTGTGTGAAAATTTTATTATTTGAAGTTGCCTAATTAAGGTGAATTCAAAAAGTTTATTTTTCTGATTTTCTTTATATTTGATTTCTTGGTTCTTAAAAAAGTGGATCTAAAGTAGTGAGATGCTTCTGCTCTCCAGTTTTTGTTCTCTCTCTTGTGAGTTTTGTGTAATATGTGATTCCTATAAATGCCTATCATCATTACCATACAGTTGTAGAGTGAGGCACATAAGGTGTTTGATAAGGAAATCTTTTGCGAGGCACTATTTGGTTCTTAAACTCTTCATTATTTCAATGTATTTCATGCATTGCAACAGACATGGGGTGGTCTTCTGTTTTGAAACCATGACAAGCTTTAACCAATGACCTGATCGAGAAAAAAATCATTGGTGGATTTGAGAGGAGCTGACTCGATGAACAGAAAAACTACTATCAATTGATAGGAATCATCATGCATCATCAATAAACCATGGTAAACATCAAAATGTGCATATCTCATGATGCACTATGCTATTCTGGAAAAGGTCTATTATTGAGCTCAATTCATGATTGATACACATAGGAGTTCATTCTTCTGAATGTGGCAATGATGCTGGTCATGGCTGTTTAACTGATGCACAAAGCGTTACAATTTTTTTTGAAGTTATTGTAGCTGCATATAGTGAATATGATATCAAAGTCATTTGTTTCAGGGGTTGGGCACTTGGGCATGTCACACACAAAATGATGAAGGAATTTGCATTGGAGGTTTGAGAAGAATGCCACTTAATATTATTCTTACTTTCTTTTTTCCTGGTATTTGTTTCTTCTTTTCATTTTTGTTTTGGTACAGCTTCATGTTGTGTGGAGTATTTTGTAACTATGAACAAACTATTCCTTTCTTCAAAGTTATGTGAAATATGTCTTGAATCATCAGATCCACACTCCAAAGAAGAAAGTGAAGAAGGAAAAAGAAAATTTGCTAACTTTCTAAACCATATATAATGACGCATTGTAAACTTCTGTTATGTTCTTTTCTATGTGTCTATGTGATCTTTGGTGACATTTAGGAAAAACATGATTATTATAAGAGCACAAACCAACTCATATGTTGTTGGTTAGTCTTATTGAGCAAGAAATTCGTTTGTACCTATTTGTACTCTCAAGTTGTACTCCACGTTCATTAGTATAATCATGTTTATTAGATGTGGGTATATTTTTTACCATACATTTGTTTTATATATCTATCAGTTTCTTGCTTGGAATTAAAGTTTAGTTGATGTTATAGTATAAAAGTATAAGGAGATTTAAGAAATCATGCTCAATATATAGAGTAGTAAATAGTTACAACAATATTATGGTTCAACTTTCTGTACTACAGAATTAAGTGATTGGCTTAACGAGTTTTGTCAAAGGCGAAAATCTCTAAAAAGCGTTCCATGCGAATTGGGGCTTTAAGCACAAAACACAATTGAAGTGTGGATTTTAGTAAAAAAAGGTGGAATAAAGGAAAAAAATAAAAATATATATGTAATTTAGGGAAAAAGTAAGTGTTTTCCTTAATAACTAATACACTTATTTGCCAATTATATTTGTTGTTTAGTACCGTTCCATTCAAAATAGAATTCATGGGCAATGAGTGTTCACGCCTTAGTGCTTTGCATATACTAAAGCACAACTTAAGCGAGGGAAAGCACCCTCCGTGAGCTTTTTTGAGCTTCAGGGCTTAAGCATGCCCCTTTGACAACACTGGGCTTAACCATACCATCTTGGTGGTAAATTGAATTTAGAGTTTATTTGTACCGCAGAGTTATGCGATTTCATGTGTTTTATCTACCTTTTGGATAATTAGTGTTAGAATATTATTATTAATCTTTATATTATGTGATGTATGAATTCATGTTCATGTTGTGGTATCGTGTCAATTATCAATAGCTTCTCCTAAAATGCGAAGTCTACCTTTTGATCTATATAATGAATGGCCTCCATCTTCTGTTGGAAGGTAATTTCCCTATTTCTAGGCAATAACTCTTAGTTCATTGCTAAAATATGTATTTTTGGTAGTTAAGTGTTGATGATAATAGTGAAGATATATTAATGAGATGACTCATTAATACTTGTGGAACCTGATTGTATTTGATGGTCATAATTGAATACTTATGCAAAGTTCATGCTACTTCTCAACAGACAAGCAGTTGATCAGATGTGCTTAATCCACCGATTTATTATTTCAGAAATTTGAGAAGCCTAAAATATCAGGTATAGTTCTACTAAGACAGTTCTACTTATCGTTTTATCATTGTGGGTTGGCAGGGACAGACTTGATGATGTTCTGTTCCCTTGCATGTAACAGGTTGGTAATTTGAAGGCAACCGATTCTTTATGTTTTCTCCCTCGATTGAAACTGTCTAAAAAGTAATTAAATTTTTTTTACAATATTATTCCTTGATGAGGAGAAGTTCATGTAGTACTTTTCACAACAAAGATAGTTACTTTGAACAAAAAATAGTTTGTATAATAGTACTTTTATTGTTTTTCACAATAAAGACTCTTCTTTTGAAGAAAAAAAATCTTAGTTTCACTACAAAATACAAAACATTTTTTTCCATAGTTCAAAACCTTAAGGCTTAAAAATATATTAAAGATTTGATTATATAACATTCTTCACGTGAAGTTTAACATAACTTTGTATCGTAAAATCTATGTTTACTTTATCAAAAGAAAGAAAATATAAAATCTTTGACTGTGCCCTACATTTTGATCAAGGTGCAATTACCATAGCCCTTTGTCTATTTTTTTGTCAATAAAAAGATTTCATGTCTTTTATTCATTACTCTATCCCTTTATACATCGTATCTATTAGAACACTGAAGTATTTACATGAATGTACTCCTTTTTCATATGATATCCTGGATACTCTTGGAAAATTAATGGAAGTGTGGTTACTAGATGTATAATAGTTGGATAAAAAAATACATAAACAATGACAATTGAATTTTCTTCATGAGAATTTATTAGTTAATTCTAATAATCTCAGGTACATTTGAGCTTATGGCATGGTATTAATGTGATTAGGCTATTATTATTGAACCATGCACTTTACGCATCAATCCAGGTAAAGAATGATGCTCGCTTTGCACTTGAAATATGTCAGCAAGCTGTGACGCTCAGGATTATCATGATAAGAAGTTGCTATTGCTTCCCCAGATCTATCATCAGGTAACTGAGCCTCAAAATTTCAGATGTTAGTAGCAAGAAAAGAAGATAACTTTCAAAGACTGATGACATATTACGACAACGACAACGACAACAACCCAGTATAATCTCATTTAGTGGGGTCTGGGGAGGGTAGTGTGTACGCAGACCTTACCCCTACCCTAGGGTAGAGAGACTGTTTCCAAATAGACCCCCGACATCCTTCCCTCCAAGAACATCCCACCTTGCTCTTGGGGAGACTCGAACTCACAATTGATGACATATTAATGTGACAATAAATATGTGTCATAGATAAAGTGTTGTACATATTTTTCTGATTCTTATGAGGCATTCTTAAACTTTGGATACATGATTCAACAATAAATGAACTCCATATTCAAGTTTCAAAAGAGTGCAAATAAGGATATTGCAACTTCTTTAAAATAAAATGGAAACACTTAGCAACAAAAGCAATGCCTTGTGAGATCCATCAATTTGTCATCCTTTTTTCATCCCCTTGACAACTATTTCCTATAATTCATAGCTATTTCTCTTATGCAAAAAGAATTTGAGACTTGTTCCTTACATAGGATAAAGTTTTATAGTCTGTCACTTCAAGTCTGTTGGGACAAATGTTGTACCATGTTAGTATTTATAAGTGATTCAGAGTTGTCAATATCCTTCTAGTGTTTTCCTGGTTAAACATAGTGTTGTAAGATAAATTTTTTTCCTCTACCCATGCTTGATTCCTCTCTGTTTCCAAATACTTTTGGTCTCAACAAAAAAGGACCTCTTGCCGTGCACACTCCTAAAATCTTCTGTTGATGGCAAGTAAGTTGATTCTAGCAGTAATATGCCTTTGAAGATGGATGCATTAATCACTTAAAAAATATTATCCGGTATAGGATTTTTTTTAACTAAATTGTTTGTGCACTAGATAGACTGAAGCAAATCAGATTGATTAATTCTATAAATCTTTAGATTAAGATGGACTCTAAAACTTTATTGCAAAAACTAGAAATAGAAGAATACTGAAAATTTCAATGTGTTGGGGCACTTCCAACTCTTTGATGAAAGTAAATGCGCTTTAACTGCTTGGGAAATTGCATTATCGTGTGTTGCATGATGTTTTACAGTTCAATCCTTTTCAAGTTTGCCCTCTACATAGGGAGAATAGGAAAAAAATGATTCATGACTTCAATTTTGGTTGTCCTACTATTATTTATTTCTTTGCTAAATCTGATTTAGTGATGCTATGGAAGAAGTCTAACATATTTTATGACTTGAAGTACTTTTCGTGAATGAACTTAACTATTTTGTTGTAGACGTAACTATTTAATGGATTGGCTTAGTTTGTTTCCAGTTTTGGTAACAACCAACATATTACATATATGCAGAGGTTTCATGCCACTACAAAGTCGATTTTCGTGCAAGAGTTTCTGAGTTATATTAAGTAGATTCTTTTAGAAAGAATCTAGGTTCTCTAAGCTATTATGTAAAACGTTCTCTATTAGTTTTTTTTTCTCAATTATTTTCTGCATCCGCACACTTTTGATTTTATTTTACAACTTCTATTTGTTTTCTTTGGAGAGTTTGGGTAATATGAATTTCATGCATAGATGATGTTATTTTAAATTGGTTTACCTCTTCAGATAAAATATTCCGGGATTAGTCGGGTCTCTTAGAGACTCGGACACCCGGTGCAAATCAAAAAAAAAAGCATAACTTAATCGTTTGCAGGTTGATTACATTAGATTTAGAATATTCTGAAGATGCAGTTGGAAACCAAGTGGAGTAAGGGTAACCAAAGCATGTCAAATGCCTTGATAGTTGTTGCTTCAACATTTGTTGACCGATTAGCACAATTGTAGAAGACTAATCTTTACTAGCGATCTTAGAACCTTAAAGTGTCTACACTCAGAAGTTACATCGTCCGATCGCTCTTAAAGATCTACTTATTGCTAGCATTCCAGTGTACAGAGATTGAAGAGTTGCAGAATAAAATTATTGAATTATTTCAAGCTCTCTTTTTTGAAGAAAGAGGATAATTAACATATCATTTGTAGCAGACATATAATGTACGACAAGTAAATGTCAATATCGCATTAATTTAAATATTTTTGTTGATGCAGTGCCATTATTTCGCTAGACTGGACTTCATAATTTTCAAACAAGCCACCCTGAGTTGCATATCCGAGGTATCAAGTACCAATTTTTCAGATGGCAATCATATTTTCATTGCTCCTCTTGAGCTGTTAATAGTGAGTTGAAAGTTTAATGTAGAAACAAAATATCAATATTGAACTGAGATATCGGGCATAGCCCATGCATAGCACGGGCACGACCCGTCTAGTATATTAATTAAATATAGTTTAGAGTTAACTATCCTTAAATAAATGTGCCGTATATTTATTGGATTGGTGTAAAAATTCGGTACGAGCAAATATTTATCTTGAAACAAGCATTTTTTTGGGTTTCTCACCCGGTGTCCGGTCGCATTGGAGTCCGATTATATCCGAATTCGCACCGCGTAGGGTCCCATTCGGGGAAAGCGCTCCCTACCAAGAATTTTTCCATACCCAAGGCTCAAACTCGAGACTTTTAATTAAGGGAATAACAGATCTTGAAACAAGCCTTACCCGCAATAAAAGGATTAACTATTCAATGTTGTTTAAGAAAATTTCAGCATATAAAAAAATTACCAACCTAGCGGTTACCATGCCACCCTCATCTTGAAGGGGGGATCCGCCACTAGTAACTAGAGCATACAATTTAAATTTAATCTGAACATCTCATGCCAATCAGTACTTTAATACTATTTTCGGTCAAATAGGCAAAATTTTATTCAACCAAGTATAACTACTTGTATTCCAACGGACTATTGAGCTAGACGCCTAGACTCGAACAAAACCACTGTTACTCAATAGTTCCCTTTGATCGATCTATTTACAATCGGTCTTACAAAACTAGATTAGGAAATATTCAAACTTTCTAAAACCTTTTTCCATTTGATCTCTTCATTTATATATTACAATATTTATACGAATCCAAAAGTTCTCGAAAAAGAGATAAATTCCAAAATGCGGTGAAAAGGAGACAAACACAATAACGTCAGACTATTTGTTTCCCACTCCAACGACCTTTAAAAGATTTTGAAATAAAAAAACTTTAAAAGATTGGCTAGTAGTAGAAAAAAATGATGTCATTATATACTTTTGGTAGTGTTCAAACAATTCGATGTCAGATATGGATAGAGATTACGTTTAACATAAGATTTTCAATTATCTTATTGCTTATTTTAAACTTTCTTTGCTACGCAATACACATATCATAATTTTGTAGATCAGCAAATTTTCGATACATTTTGAACAGTTAGATAATACTCATCCAGAGAGATGCTAACTGTGGTAGAGCTACAACTAAGGCTGGAGTTCAATTGAATTCTCTTTTGCTGAAAAATTGCAGTATGCAAATAAGGCAAAAGTAATTTTTTTGCTTTATATATATAAAGGTAGTTCAAAAAATATTTTAAGTCACAAGTTTAAACATTTTAAATCCCCTTATTAAATATTTTTTGAATTCACTTGTTAAAATTACTGGCTCCGCATATTATTCCCTCAATCTCAAATGTGACACTGTCTCACAAAGTATTTAAACTGTTAACTTGCATCTGTGTATTGTTTAAGTTATATTGGAAAAGAAAATTTGAAACTAAAATGACATCGAAAAAATATTAAATGCCATTTAATATATATTTCGCTTTTTACCTTTGTGATAGGGTTTCTAGTATCTTATCCTATCATACAATTCGAGATGAAATTAGATTTGATACACACTATTGAGCTTGGACATCAGTCTTAAAAACTACTTGGGCTGACTATGATCACCTTTTCGGATTACATGTATAAGAGCCAAAATTACATAATCTCCGTCCATTTTAAATTGATCTTAACAATTTTTGGAAAAAAAAATGAAATAAAGAAGGTCAGACAGGTGCATTCCCTCTACATATTGGATGCCTCGTAGCGAGTTTTGAACTTTGAAAAAGAGCTTTTTTAAAAAAAAGATATTATTCTTGATTACCTTCTGAAAATTCTTTTATCATTTCTCTCAAAGCCAACATAATTATGAGTTAGACATTAGAACTGAAATGCTACCAACAATGGAAGTCTGCAAGAAATGGAAGGACAAAAATATAGAAGCAATGCCAAGTTAAATTAATCATACTAGGATCCTCCAAAGAGTTGCCTTTACATGCATAGATCATCATTACTTGTTAGCAAGGTCTAGGAAAGATGCAGAAATAGTAGAAGAGAGCTCTACTGGATTAGGACCTTTGCCACCATTATGTACATTTGAGTGAATCCTCAGTTTGACAGTCACCGAGAAGCTATATGTCTTGCTTAGGCTTCCGACTTACCTCAGAATACTGACCACCCATCAACTGCAATATCTCTCCCCACAAACTCTCTGATGATGAAGTTTGTGAACCTGCAAAAATTAGATTTGAACTACATGAGGCAACGTACCAATAACCGGACTCAATCTCTTCCCTCAACTGGTCAAGCTGCCACCCCGCATAGCCAACGAAGAATCTGAAATCTTGTGGCTTAAGCACCCCTTTGTTTACCAGTACAGATGCTTCTTCCAAACTGTTTCGAGCACCAAAACACACGCCAGGAATCACCTCTTCGAACCTAGGTAGCTCTGAACTAGCACCTGCTCTTAGTAGAAACATACTTGCCTCAAGGGGCCCACCAAAGTGCAAGGAACAATCAGCAAAGGTCGTGGCCAGGTCGAGATTAGTGGGTTTCATGTGCTTGATCTTTTTGCCTAATGGGCGATTTATGACTACACCGAATGGACCCTCTTGTGGGTGCCTGGTTCCAGATCTGAGGAGGAGAACGACCGTTCTTTCAAAAGTACGAACTCCATCGAGCTTTTCAGTGGCAACAAGAACACAGCCATTCTCAGGTGCTGAAATAGGATGTGCCCACTTCAAGGGAAGAGCTTTGGGACCAAAACTTGTGCCCTCTTGCTTGTGAGTGTCAGAGACTGCAGTTGCCACCTGCTGTAAGAGTTTTAGAAGAAACCCTATTCGTTTAATGCAAGTTTTAGCAAATATGAATAATGACTTGACAAACTCCACTAAACAGAAAGAGAGGGAGGGAGAGAGGGAGAGAGATTTTAATAAAAGAAACGAAAAGATAAATGCTTTAGTGATATACTCAGAAGAATGTAATCAATCCGCACTCATAGCAAAATGATACCGCGCAAGTCCTAGGAAAATAGGAACTACGAAGTATATATCGTAGAGCGGATCTGTAACTCTTCCGACATGTTTTCATGGAACATGTCACAGACAGGAACTGTGGTCATCAAGTGTGCAGTCTTTGCAGAATGTTATTTCATTTGTAATGACACAACAAAACCTTAGAACTTGGAAGTATCCTAGAGAAATCCATAAGGCTTCAATCCAAACAGGAGTTCATGGTGAATCATATGAATGACTCATTAAGCAATGTTTATCAACATTGGAATTTTATCATGCTAAGGGAAAGTGAGGTGTGTTATTGGTCTATAAGATGATTCAGACTTGCAAAGGTGGTCCATAAATCATACCTGCTCCTGAATGTAGAGAGATGCTCGAAATTCCCTCCAGTCCAAGGGCTTCTGATGAGATTTCGGTGCACCAGCATTTTTTGAGCTATCGTTTCCAGAAGAGGGGTTGCTCCTTTTTTGGCTATCTTCTTCTGGGCCCTTCCCTTCAGTATAACAGGGTCCACATTAGAGAGAGGCACAAGTTATGCTTAATCAAGATGTTACAAAATGTTAAATAATCATAAACGTTATGAGAAGTATCAATTAGGAAAGGACTTTACAACCTAATAAACCAGTAGAGTAAGAGAAGGAAGAAATACAAGTGTTTCCTTGACATGTATACACTTGTTCAAACTGTAAAGCTGTTATTGTGTCTATTGCGCTGATCAAGTTTGTCATTAATCGTTATGACAGAATTAATACGACAAACCAAAGTTAATCATAAAAAAAAGGACACTACTAAGTTGTAGGATAAGAAATATTTCCAGGTCCTAAAAGAGATTTTGTGCATCCATCAATTTTTGTACAATAAGCTAATCAACGTCACATCACAAAAACAAATTGATAATCGACACAGATCTGGAAAACAGTGAGTCATTTATCTATTGTCCCAGCAAATCTTTTCACCTCTCAGGCTTATCATATTAGAGCCCATTAAGGAAAATAGCTATAACTACGGTGGCACTTTTCCACGATGAACGCCTAAGACCAATAAGACACCGTTGTATATGTACTAGTCTAGAACCCAAGCCAGCAGCCTTGCTCTGGGCCTCTGCTAACCAAGCTTGTAACTTTTACCCCCGTCTCTAGGGAGAGCAAGCTTATGTGACGACTCTTTACTTTTCAGATATTGCAAAAGGTTTTGTGGCTTAGAGGTTTACTGCAAAGGTTCCCCAATAGCAGCAACCTCCCTAAGGAACATCTTAACATTTCCTTGCTTAGGATCTGTTCTCAAAGCTAATCATCATAGACTTTACTTTATCTACCTATTCATTGGCTAACAAAACATCCAGTTATTCGTCAGACTACAGAAGTTAGATCGTTTAGCCCTCCATGCTCCAATCTAGAAGTTTTTCAATTACGTCAAGTGAGCCAACTCTTCAGCTAGGCCTTTTATG